AAAAAGAAAAAATTTAGAGTATGAGTCTAAATACCTGCAGATTGAGGGACAAGATAGGGAAGATCTCGTTCCAGCAGTAATGATATTAGCAGAGACAAGAAAAAGTAAGTCCCAAAAGTGACCAAAACATCCTGTGAGAAATGCATCAGCAGCATGTTCCTCTTTTTTATAAAATCCCTTATTGCACCTTGTTCTTTGTGTCTGGCAGCTCAGCTTTATTATTTTTTAGTCTTAGAGAAGGTAGTTCAAGAGACTGAGATAACTCCGTAAATTATTAGACTAGAGAACTTGCGATGTTTTTTATTGGTAAATCAACGATGTGGTGCCTTTCTGGGTTAGCCATTTCAATGAGAACGAGGGCTTGAATTCAGACAGAAGTTGGAAAGTGCCCTAACTCGTTGATTCAAAGCATAAAAAACAAATCATTGAAATGAAATTTAAGTGAAAAATAGATTTCTGGTACATGAATGCTGTTTCCATAGTGATTCCATTATAAGCTGGCTCGGGGAGGGGGGAGAATGCAGACTGAACAGAGCTTAGTCCCATGTAGCCAAAGCCAGCCTGGTTCTTCCAGATACTGGCCTTTGAAGCATAGGGCCCTGATAAATGTCCATGGTCACCCTGTCTTCTTCTCTTGCTATCCTGTCCCAGCACACAGACCTAATGTGCCAGAATTTGAGCTCTGCCTCCATTCTATCAGTAAAATGTCAGGAACAAAGGCCATCAACTTTACACAAGTGTATATTAAACAAGGACTTTTTAAAATGGATTGCCGGTAGAATTATTTGGAGTCATGTCTGGTTGATATTAGAGTCTTCCAGAGTTACAGGTAATGCCATAAATCCTGATTGCAGAGCCTCGCGGTGCCTTATCTTCTCATCTGAAAGCTGATGAGAACCACGGAGAGAAGAGATGTTCATCCCCACAGCTAGATGTTGTGCTGGGGGGTTCTTTACCATGTATACTACAGTTGGAGATTACATTCGGCTGAAATGCCACACTTTTGCACCCAGAATTTGGAAAAGGTAATCTGGGTGTGAATAAAGTTTTCACTGGTGGCTATTTCAGCTTTACAGAGCTTCCTTGTACCTAGCAGAAGATAAACTGGTGTGCAACTGACTCCTTTTGGGCCCTCCTGAACGTGTAAACCTCAAAATAGATTCAGATACCTCCAGGGACCAAGCAAGTAGATGAACTAGGACCAAGTTTAGCCTATTTGGCCAGCACAGCATCTTACAAGTTTTTCATCTGGGCCAGCAGGTGGCATAGTGATTAAGGTGCTAGACTCCCACATAACCGACCACAGTTCAAGTCCCAGACCCAGTGCCTTGAAACACGCTGGGCACATGTGAGTGCCTAAAATCCTAAGAGGAGAATGGAGAAGAGATTGAGGAATGGCCATCCCCCCAGGGGGTAATTTCTCACTTTCTCTCTCTGTCTCTCTCTGTGTCTATAGTGAGCACATGTGCCCTTATAGCAAAAATCTCTCTTAAATTTTTTTTTTATCTGAATGCTTTTACACAATCATGCACCCTCCAATTCCTTAAATATAACCTTCATTATTCATTCTATTTTCAGTTTACCTTAGATCAGGTAAGATCTTTTTTTCTTTTTTGAGGGAGAGAGATTTTTGCCATAGAGCACGTGTACTTGACAGAGAGATAGAAATCAAGAAATCATCTCCCCGCCAAGGGATGGTCAGGCTGCAATCCCCTCTTTTTCATTCTCATCTTGGGATCTGGGGCACACAAATGCACCTGGTGTGCATCTCAAGCCACTGGGTCCAGGACTCAAACTACGGTTGGCCACATGGGAATCCAGTGCTTCAACCACTATGTCACCTGCTGGCCCCTAGGTAGGATATTTCTGCCACTGCCCTGAAGCTATTTGGGTTGGCACCAGCTCACAATCAGGAAGCTTTGCTTGTGATGGAGTGGGAAAGAAGTGGTGAGGAGGGGACACAGAGGGGCATAGTGACAGGTGTCTGTATACTAAGCATTTTATACAGTCCCTGTTACACCCCCGCAGAGCAGGTTCTATGATTATCCCCTATTGTACATGAGGAAACAGGCACCAACCAGATAACTTTCCCAAGGCTGCACAACTAGTAAGCAATGGAATCAGGAATTGAACCTGGCCCAAGTAGCCTTACTCATATGCACTCTGCTATACCTACCAACTTTTGTGAAAGCCTCTCATTTTGATTCATGTTAGATGAGGCTGAAAAACATTATGAAAAAAAGAGAGAGAGAGAGAGAGAAGAAAAGCACTATTTCCTTTGGGACTCACATGCAAGTTTAGCTAAAAAATATACTTAAATAGATATTTATTGATTGCATATGGAAGAAAAGGAAATGCTTATGAGGATAAACATGGAGACATGTTTAGAATAGTGCCTGACACAAACACAAAGTAGAGAGTTTCAAATGGCATCAAAGTCAACATTTTGAAACTCACTGTGGGCAGGACCAGCAAGCAGATGGCAAAGAGGTTAAGGCAGCTGGATCTCACATGGTTGATTGTGCAGTTTGAGTACCAGACCAGGCACCTTGAAAATCGTATCAGTCGTACATGCATGTGTGCCCAAAATCCCAAGAAGAGAGTGGAGGAAAAAGGATTGCAATGTGGCTATCCCATCTCCGTTATCCCTACTTTTTAGATGAAGAAACTGAGGTACATGGGGGGAGGATGATTTCTCTCTTTCCCACTCTATCTCTGTGTCTCTGGCAGCAAGCACATACCAACTAACGATAAATAAAAGTCAGGATGGGCAAAACCAACCTCGGGCTGCCATTTTGCTCCTTCAGGGGCTCCTTTAATGAACCTCTGCTATGTGCCAGCCAGCTACTTAGTACTTTAAATGCATCTTCTACCATAACACTTACAATCACCTTGAAAATGGATCATTGTATGCTTATTTTACACATGACACGCTATCTAGTAAGTATAGGGCTGGGATCCACACCCAGGCACTCCAACTCTAAAACTCATGCTCTTTTTCTTTTCTTTTTAAATTATGTACTTAATTTTTATTTACTTTTGTTATTTTTTAATTTGACGAGAGACAGACAGAGAGAGGTAAAGTGAGAAAGAAAGCTCCCAGGTCTGGAACTTGAACCATGGTCGACCATGTAGGAGTCCAGTGCCTTAACCACCATGCCACCTGCTGCCCCCCCCCTTTTTTTAAGAGAGATTTTGCTACGGGGCATGTGTGCTCACTGGAGAGAGAGAGACAGTGAGACAGAAAGTGAGAAATCACCCCCAGGAGGCATGGCCATGCCGCAATCCCTTCTCCACTCTCCTCTCAGGATCTTGGGCACGCATACACATGTCCCCGGTGTGAGGTTTAAGCCACTGGGTCCAGGACTCACTGGTTTCATGGGACTCCAGCAATGTAACTATTTCATCGTCTGCTGATCCTCATACATTTTTTTCTTGATGACCTATTTTTATAGTTAATGAATCAACTTTCTTGATGACTTTAATATCACCCACCCATCCTACAGTAGATGTCAATCAAAACAGTGATATTCTTCTATTGATTTGAATCAGTAACTTCTCAAGGATGACTTCTAGCTCAAATGAGTAAAATCAAGTCATGGGCCCATGGGCATATACCTGATATATGCAGAATGGCATCTAGTTGATAATGTCTAAAACTTTGTCATTGTTTTAATATAGGTTTAAAAGAGGGCTGGGGACCAGCAAATGGCGTAATGGTTCATCACTGGACTCCCACGTAGTCAAGTGCAGTTTAAGTCCCAGACCTGGTGTCTTAAAACTCATGCCAGGCATGTGTGCATGCATGTCCAAGATCCCGAGAGGAGAAGGGAGAAGGGACTGTGGCATGGCCATCCCCCCAGCAAGTGATTTATTGCTTTCCATCTCTCTGTCTCTCTGGCAAGCCCACGTGCCTTATAGCAAAAATCTAATAAAGCGGCTGAAGGTTTAATCATTACACTCTTCTTAAATCTGAAGTGTGGGCTCAAGGGACCAGCAGGTGGCATGGCGGTTAAGGCGCCAGACACTCCCACATGGCTGATCACGGTTTGAGCCCTGGACCTGGTAGCTTGCTTTCTCACTTCCCCTCTTTCTCTCTCTTTCTGTCTCTCTCTCTGTCAAATTAAAAATAAATGAATGAATAAATAAAATTCAAAAAAAACAAGAAAGTGAAATGTGGGCTCATTCATTTCAACAAATATCATCTACTGATGAATAAGAGAAATTTGTGCCCTCGGGAAGAACACAGTCTCTTGGGGTAGACAAAGTATGTTTGTGGGAAATGAGCTGAGGGTATGGAGAACCAAGTGCTATCAGCTTTGAGGAGAGTGGGGCGAGCTCTGCCAGTGGGAGGGGCAAGGAGAGGTGAGCTTGGGAAGAATAGAATGAGTGGGGAGGATGGGGAAAAGCACCTGGTCTCCCAGTGCTGGGAGACCATGGCTGTTTCTATGGCTGAGTTGCAGGGAGTTTGAGATGAGTGATGACCTTCAGGGGGTCAATCCAACCTATGGTAATACCAGCAAGTGTGGTTTTCGCCATCTCCCCTATTACGTCTACCAATAGTAACTGGTGGAACTTGCCTATTTTATACCCTATTCTTTTTTCTTTGTAATGTCAACATGGAACCCAGTCTTGCAATTTGTTAAGACTAAGCAAGGCAGAGGGGCCAGACCTTGGTGCAGTGGTAAAATGTGACATTGCCCTTTGGACCAGCAAATGCATAATAGTTATGTTTTTTGGACTTCTACATAGTCAACCATGGTTCAAGTCCCAGACCTGGCAACTTAAAACTCATGCCAGGTGCATGCATGCCCAAAATCCCAAGAGGAGAATGGAGGAGAAGGGATTGTGACATGGGAATTGCCCGGGGGTGGGGGGGGTTATTTCTCGCCTTCTATCTCTCTGTCTCTCTCTGTTCTCTGGTGAGTGGATATGCCCCATAGCAAAAATCTCTCTTTAAAAAAAAAAAAAAAAAGTGATGCTGCCCAAGGCTGACCCACCTGGAGAGGTGTCCAGTTCAAGTGCAGAGGCGTCCTGGAGTATGCTGGACACATGATTGCCTGTTATCCGGGGCTGGCGGAAGGCTGGGGGTGCATCACAGTTTCTAGACCCTGTTGGGGGTACTATCTCTCTCTCTTGCTCCTGGAAGAAATAAATAAACTCTGATAAAATAAAATAAACGCAGGTGCCTCGATTACTTCTGTGACACGAGGGAAGGGGCTTCTTTAAAAAAAAAATGGCAGAAAACTTCGAGAAGACATCAAACTAATACACCTATGACTGGGAAGAAAATCTTGTCTTCTGGTGAACTCAGAGGTAAACCAGAATCTCTCCTTCCTGCTCTTACCTCCTTATAAACAGGGTCTGACTGGGGCTGGCAGGAGGCATGGTGGTTAAGGGCACTGCCCTCCCCCATGGTCGACTTTGGTTGGAGTCCCAGACCTGGCAGCTTGCTTTCTAACTTTCCCTCTCTCTCTCTTTCTCTCTCTCACTCTGTCCCTCTCTGGTCAAATTAAAATAAGTAAATAAATAAAGTCAAAATAAAAAATAATTCTTAAAATAAATAATATAAAGAAGGATCTGACTGAAGGAGGCCAATAAGACACTGGTGAGAATGTGATTATTCCAGCTGTTTAGAACAAGCTTAAAAGTGTCTGAGGCTCACTTGAGAAGGGGATACCTTCTCAAATGCTTTCTTTAGCCATTTGTTTCTCTGGAGAAAAGATGTCACAGAACAGGGACCATAATGTGTAGGACACCTTGGCCATCTTGGGACACAAATGTGGTCCCTTCCAGTTGCTCAGTTATCCAGCAATATATATCTGGGTTTCATTTGTTCAGTCAAATATCTATTGAGTACCTCTGACTTAGGAAGGCTGTAAGGTAGACACTTAAGAAACAAGAGCCTTGCCTTTAAAAAGGTGGTCATCTAGGGACCAGCAGTTAGTGTAATAGTTATGTCTCTGGACTCCCACGTAGTCGACCGTGGTTTGTGTCCCGGACCCAGTGGCTTAAACTCACGCTGGGCGCGTGTGCATGCATGCCCAAGATCCCAAGAGGAAAATGGAGGAGAAGGGATTGCGGTGTGGCCATCCCCCCCCGGGGGGGTGATTTCTCGCTTTCTATCTCTCTGTCTCTCTCTGTCTGGCGAGCGAGCGCACGTCCCTATAGCAAAAAAACTCTCAAAAAAAAAAAAAATAGGTGGTCATCTAGAAGAAAGATAGATACACAATTACCTTTAAATCTGGGGCCAGCAAATGGCCTAGCTGTTACATTGCTGGACTCCCACATGGCCAAGCATGGTTCGAGTTCCTGATATGATGACTTGAAACTCACGCTGGGCATGTATGCGTGCATGTCCAAGACCCCAGGAGGAGACTAGAGGAGAAGGGATTGTACCGTGGCCCTTGAGAAGTGATTTCTCTCTTTCACTCTCATTGTCTCTGTCTCCCCCACACACACCACACACACACACACACACACACACACACACACACACGAGCTCATGTGCACTAAGGCAAAACCTTTAAAAAGAAACCTTTAGAGGACCAGCAGATATGTAACGGTTACATCACTGGACTCCCACACAGTCAACTACAGTTCAAGTTCTGGACCAGCAGCTTAAAACTCACACCAAGTGCCTGTACATGTGTGCCCAAAATTCCTAGAGGAGAAGAGAGGAGAAGGGATTGTGGCGTGTCCATCCTGCCTGGGAGGTGATTTCTTGCTTTCTGTCTCTCTGTCTCTGACTCTCTGGTGAGCACATGTTCCCTATAGCAAAAATCTCTCACACATAAACAACAAACAAACAAACAAAAAACGTTATGTTAGACAAATTCCAATTGTGTGGTTTATGGTTATCTTCGAGGTTCAGAGAACACAATGATTGCTTCTTCTTCTTCACATCATCAAGAATGCTACCACATGCTAGTCTTCCCTCTATCTTCCCAACTCCTCTTCATTTCCCCCCTTTCACTTCTTTCTTCTTCTTTACCTCCTCTCCCTCTTATTTCTCCTCTTTCTTCTACTTTTCTTCTCCTTTCTCCTTTTTATCCTTCCGGCTTCCTGCATTTTGTTCCTCACACACCAAGAAGCTCATGACATCTCCAAGCCTTTGCACTGGCTATTCTCCTAAAAAACACCTTCCTCTTTTGCACTAAAGGATTTTAGCATCAGACCTCAACTCACTTGTCACCTCAAGTGGACCTGGCCTGACACCTGGTCCCCTCTCTCAGTGTAAGTTTTCGAGAACAGGGAGCTCATCCACTTGTATATCTTTGACCCCAGTGACAAAAGAATAGTTAATACTCAGGGGGTGTGGTGGTGCCCGCCCTATGACAATAGTTAATATTCAATAAATACTTGTTGCTGAATGAGCTGAAACTGATCAACACCTACACTTTAAGCACGCCCAACTCCAGAGCAAATAAACATAAATACAATGATAAATACAGTGTTTGATCTTCTCTAGCCAACATCATAGGTTCGAAGGATCCTCAGACATCCCTGACTATCTCCTGTTTTCTCAGCATTGTTCAACTCTAATGAAAAAGTTATTGGGGGAGGTGCAGCAGGTGGCATGGTGGTTAAGGGCACTGGATTCCCACATGGCCAACCACAGTTTGAATCCCTTGACCCAGTGGCTTGCTTTCTCACTTCCCCCTCTCTCTCTCTCTTGTCCCTCTCTGGTCAAATTAAAATACATACACACATACATACATAAATCAATAAATAAAATAAAGTTCAATAAAATAATTCTTTTTTAAAAAAAAAGTTATCGGGGAAAAAAGGAAGGAAGAGAGGAAGGAAAAAAGTAAAGTAGGTGGGGCCAGTAGGTGGCATGGCGATTAAGGCACTGGACTCCCATGTGGCCAACCACAGTTCGCAACCTGGACCTGAAGGCTTGTTTTCATACTTTTTCTCTCTCTCTCTCTGGAGAGTGCATATGCACTGTAGCAAATTGAAATAGCATAATAAACAAAATTGAAAGAATTCTTTTTTTAAATTATTTTATTTAACTTTATTTATTAATTCATTTATTTATTTCAATTTGATCAGAGAAGGATAGAGAGAGAGAGAGAGAAAGCAAGCCACCAGGTCTGGAACTCAAACTGCAGTCAGGCATGTGAGAGTCCAGCGCCCCTAACCACCAAACCACCTGCCAGCCCCAGAAATAATTCTTGGAAAAAGAAAAGGAAAGGTGGAAGAAAGGAGAAATAAGTGACACAGGAAAATGGGATATCCTCAGGACACTGTAAAGCCTCTAGTGCCTCTGTGTATCTTCCCCAATCTTCTTCTTTTTTTTTTTTTTTTTTGGAGAGGTTTTTGCTATAGGGTGCATACACTTGCCAGAAAGAGAGAGACATAGAGACAGAAAGCAAGAAATCACCCCCCCCCCAGTGGGGACGGCCATGCCACAATCCCTTCTCCATTCTCCTCTCGGGATCTTGGGCACACACGCACACGCACCCGACGTGAGTTTAAGCCACCGGGTCCGGGACTCAAACCACGGTCAACTACATGGGAGTCCAGAGACATAGCCATTATGCCAACTGCTGGTCCCTAACTTCCCCAATCTTAACAGATTTTTTTGTATTTGTATCTTAAAGTTTTGCCCCCCAATGGAGACATTGTTTTCATTAACCCTGCCTCTCTTAACTACATACTTCTCAGATTCTTCAGTGGTTTTCCTATATGCTTATCAGAGTTAACCATGTGTTTGGAGTTTATGCTGTAAAAGTTTGGCTCTAGCTTGTGACTTTACTGTCACTTTCACATTCAGATTTGCATCTTAGCACCCACAAGTCCTCCTTGCCAGTTCTTCATCTGCCTGCCTACAGAACCTTGTGAGCAGGACATGCCACCTCGGGGGTTTCCTGAAATGTTCCAGCTGTACCTTCAGTTGAGAGAAATCTGCACAGCTTCTACTTCTTCTTTTTTAAAATATTAAAACAATGAAGCACATAACGTTCAACAAAAGCAAAAAGAAAAAAATTGTAAATATATTTAGTATAAAGAAATGCCTGTCAGAGACACAAGAAGTTGGTTTTTGTTTTTTTTTTTTAAGAGGTTTTTGCTATAGGGCACGTGCGCTTGCCAGACAGAGAGAGACAGAGAGACAGCGAGAAATCACCCCCCAGGGGGGATGGCCACGCCGCAATCCCTTCTCCTCCATTCTTCTCTCGGGATCTTGGGCACGCACGCACACGTGCCCAGTGTGAGTTTTAAGCCACTGGGTCCGGGATGTGAACCGCGGTCGACTACGTGAGAGTCCAGCGACATAGCCATTATGCTAACTGCTGGTCCCCACAAGAAATTGTTGATGGTGATTTCCTGGAAGTGAGGAAGGAGGAATGGAAGAATGGAAAGACAAGATGGAAGAGAATATCTTCCTTTTATACTTTTTGATTTCTTTTTTAAATAATTTTTAAAAATAATTCTTTATTTACCTAATCTTTGTCTGTTATTATCATTCATTTTTAAATTTTACTAGAGAGAGAGAGAGAGAGACAAAGGAAAAGTTAGAAAGCAAGTTGTCAGGTCTGGGACTTGAACCACTATCAGCCAGGTGGGAGTCCAGCACCTAACCACCGTGCCACTTTTTGAATTTTGAACATGTGAATGTATAACTGTCTCAGCACTTAGGTACAGTGAGTGATGTTAAAACAAAAACTGTATTTGTGTGACAATACTTTTAAAATACTGTGGCATAATTTACAATTTTATAACTTAGCAGGCTCGGCCGATGTGGGGCAGTGACAGTGCTAACGCTTGGGAGTGCTAGATGCCACGAGGTGATTGGGATGCCTGGTGTGCCTAAAACACCCACTTAGCACACACACGGGGCACCCAGAATCCTGATGAGCTAGAGGACTGGAGAAAGAGGATTGTTCTGTGATAAGACTCTGTCAAGGATTTTCTCGGTCTCTTTCTCTCAGGCACACATGTGCTTTCTATAATAAAAATAATAGGGGAAAAAGTTAATTAGTGTGAGCCTAGTTTAAATCTGGTTTTTCTCTGCCTAAGTAGAATATGCACTGGAACTGTAAAACTCTTCTTCTTCTTCTTTTTTTTTTTTTCTTTTGGAGAGGTTTTTGCTATAGGGCGCATGCACTTGTCAGGAAGACAGAG